TAATCAAACAGGACATATACAGCAAATGGGGGGGGGGGGGGAAATTTGTATAGCCCGTTGTCCTCCATATAATTGCAAAAAGCAGGTTGTGGGAGGGGGGTGTTTCCATTAACGGCCGTTTTCAGGACTTTAACACAGCTTTACAGCCAAATTAGGGGAGTGAGGGCAGTGTCACACACAGAGGTCAAAGAATGGCTTGATATTTCTAAAAATATCTATCCTAGAGACATTCAGTATAATCCCAGGGAGCTCTAGCAGACGGGCTTAATGGAAGGCACAGACCAGAGGCTGAAGCTGGGCAAACTCAGAATGAAAATTAGTAGTGAATGTAAGTAAATAATTGTAAATCAAAAGTGGTGGCGGAATTCCCACCGCCAGAACTTTAAAACTTTGAAAATTTTCAATCAAATAAAAATTCCGGTCAGTCTTAGGTTCTGTGTTTGACAGCAGCTCAGTTATTGCAGTGTTTGCTTACAGCTTTATGAGATATGAAAAATGTATGTAAAAATGTTAACATAGTCTCAGAGCCAGGAATTTTACAGAATCCGCTGCTGGAGCACTGTGCGTGTTCCTTAAGGCAATTATGGATTTGCTTTACATACATTTCCAAAAGAAATGAGTTTTTCTGAAGCCACCTCTGCCTCTCTTCACCCAAGTCCCCGCAGCCGTGCTGGGTCAGGAATAGAAAGATGGAAATTCTGCTATTTCAGTACATTCTGCTTCTCTCCCTGCATCCTCCTCCAGCCCGTGCGCTGTGTCTGGGTGGGAGCTGTTGGGGAGTAAATTCTGCCTGAATTTTAAGGTGTTGGGTTTCTGAATATGATTCTGGAACTCACAGACTCTGGAGGCTCCCCCTTTTGTAAGGGATTACTATCTATAGCATGGGAAAAAAAAATAGGTGTTTAAAAGCTCTTTTAGTTTATATTTGGTAAAGCAGGGATTGTATTGGATGTGGACTGGTTTTCCTGGGAGTTTTCCTTCCCTGCAGTGTTATTTCAGGTTATAACGTGGTGGTTTCCCCTGGCTCTGGACCCATGGAATGCAAACCCCTCCCAGCAAAGCCTTTATTTTATTACCTGAGACGATGGATCCTTTTAGTGGCACAACCCTGTTGCACAAAAATCACCATTTTTAAGTGCGATAAGCACGCTGGCAAAAGCTGGAGCTGCCAGAATTGTCCTAGAGCCGCCGTCCCCGTGCCAAGGTGTCCCCGCACGGCGGGTGCGGTGACAGATGGGCTGTGTCACACCAGGCTGTGGCAGCCAGCTCTGCTCCCCTTCCCTCGCTGCCGGGGATCGGCCTCTTCCCGGCGGGACGTGTGTCACCTTCCCCTGGGCGTGACGCCGGGCTGTGCTAATGAGGGACGGTGGGTGATGGCTGACGAGGAACCCTCCGTCCCACCGCGGTGACTCAGAGGGAGTGAGTCTGCTGCCAGTCACTCCAGGTGACAAACACACGGAGCCACGGAGGGATGAAGGCGGACGGATTACGTCAGGTCGGTGCTGGAGGCACACATCAGCCTTTGTGTCACCTTAGGGGGTCAAGGGCAGGTTGGAGGGGGCTTGGAGCAACCTGGTGTGGTGGGAGGTGTCCCTGCCCAGGGCAGGGGGTGGCACTGGGGGGGGGCTTTAAGGTCCCTTCCCACCCAAACCATTCTGTGATTAATTTAGAATGTGAATTAGATGCTTTTTCTAGCCAAATAACACTTCATACATTTCCCTGGGTTCAAAAGCCCAAAACAATGGTTTAAACTCTTTGAAAAGGCAGGAATTGGTGGATTTGAAGCAGAGCGCGGTTCTGCATCGCCCGTGAGGGATCACAGCAACCTTTGTGTTCTGCGCCGGCGGGGCTCTCGCCCCTTTGGGAGGAGATTTGGGTTTGAGGCTGAATATATTTCCTCCCGGAATTTTTTTGCAATGATACCGTGTGAAAGGTTTGCCTTTGCACCTGGAAGCAAGTCTTGTGAGATCCTGGTGAAGAGTTACGGCAAGGACACCGGTTTGCAGGTCACAGAGGTGTTTCTGCACCATCAGAGAGACGTGCCCAGAAGTTTTATCTTGTTTTGACTGTTAAAAAAAACTGCTTACTGACTGTTCCCTTGTTGTCCCCACCAACACTTTCCCAGGCAGCAGTGACTTGGGTTTCTTTCATTGCTTCAGCTCAAAGCCCCGGGGGGAGAAATGACCTGTCAAAAGTCATCTCCCTGGGCAGGGACACCTCCCACCAGCCCAGGTTGCTCCAAGCCCCCTCCAACCTGCCCTTCAACCCCTCCAGGGATGGGGCAGCCACAGCTTCTCGGGGCAACCTGGGCCAGGCTCTCACCACCCTCCCACCAAACAAGTTCTTCCCCACATCTCATCTAAATATTAGATATTATTAGTCTTCTGGAGAACAGACTGTTTGCTGCTGAAACCACCCGCTCTGGGTGGGAGTGGAGACTGCTCTGCTCTTC